ATTCTTATGCTAATAAATTCAAGAAATTGGTGACTCGTGTAGGATTAACAGATGAAGCACAAAAGAAGAGGATATTCTTTATGGGACTAAATCCTGCTTATACTCCGTTAGTCTACTCACAAAATCCAGCTGATTTAGACGCTACTGTAACCTCTGCACGAACCATCGAAATTGGATACAATTTTACCTCTGGAAAAACCCTCAAGGATATTAGTATTACTATAGTCCATACTCCTAAAAATGTAGTTACTAATACTGAAGTGGATGAACTCACAAAAAAATTGAAACAATTATCTATCAATTACACTAATTTGACAACTGCTTTATTAGCTCAACCTCAACAACTACCAAAGAGACGAACAGAGTGACCCTACAATAATACTAATAGAAGACCTAGACAAAATATGTCTTCCATGACTTGTTACAATTGTAACAAGGAAGATCATATAGCTATATATTGCCCTTAACCTCATCAACAACCAAGAGGAACCGATAGAAGACCTTATTATGATAATACAAAAGATGTACATCTTGCTGACCAATATTATGAGAAGAAATATAATGATGAGGAATATACTTTAGAGGAATATTATGAAGAAGACGAATATGAAGTCTATCTTAACACTAAGTCTGGACCTTACCCAAAGAATGCCATGTCAAAAAATAAACGAAGACCAGTAAAGTTTTAAAACCCATCCAAAATAAACGTTGAAGAATTAGAAATAGAAGAACCAACACCAGAACTTATAGTCGAACCAGTTAGAACTGAAAAAGCATTAAAAACCCCTAAAAAGAGGTTGTTATCTGCTTTATTGAACAACTAACGGAATTCAATGTCTCAACTTATTTGCAAAATCTACCATGTGGATTCTCAGTAGAACAAGCCGCATATGCTATCCCTAAATATCGTTCTGGTTTAGCTCAAGCTGTCAGGCACTCAAGAAAAAAAGCCACTGATGAAACTAAGGAAGCCAATTTAGTAAAAAGTGATGATGAACCAACCTCAGTAGTGAAATGCACTTTGAGGATTGGACAAAAAGCTCAAACTGCAATTATTGATAGTGGAACTACCACTAGTATCATAACCAGAGCTTTAGTAAAAAAACTAGGATATAAAATTAATCGACCCTCAAAAATGATAGTAATAACAGCGAATGGTGCAAGGACTCGTTCCCTCGGAATTATCGACAATGTACCAGTAAAGATTGGAAAAATTAATATACCCACTTCCTTTCAAGTACTCGAATCTAAAGATGAAATCCTTATACTTGGAAATGATTAGCTCAGAGTAATCAATGCTACTATGAGTTGGGAACAATCCATCCTTACTATTAATGAGATAGAATTACCATGAAAATTCCTATTGCATTTACAAAAACAGCTAAAGTTGTGACTCAGGAAGCTGAGGATGAATATGAAAGTGAAGAATATGAGGACGAATATTTAGAAGAATATCCTATTTATTTATCTGACGATGTTGAATCAGAAGAATTAGAATTAGACGATGAGTTAGGATTCAACCCATGGTCTAATCATTACTCTCCTATTCAATCTGAAGAGGATACTGATAATAATGGAGAATTAGAAGAACCAATAGAAGACAACCCAGCTGCCTATCTTACTAAAGTCGCAGGATATACTGCTAAAACTGATCTAACGTACTTGGAGCAACTAGGACCTTTGGACTACTATCAATAACAGACTTTTATGAATCTGTTAGAAGAATACTACGATATTTGCGCAAGGAGTCAAACAGATATAGGAAGAACAACAGAAATCAAGCATCATATCTATACTAGAACAGCTATGCCAATTGCTCAAAAACCATATCGAACTAATCCTGAAAATACCAGATTTCTGAATCAATAATTAAAGAAAATGGAAGAAAATGGTATAATTTGACCTTCTTATAGTCCATAGGCCTCACCTGTTATAATTGTAGGAAAGAAAGGAGGTGAAAAAAGACTATGTTTCAATTATCGAAAAGTTAATGCTATCACAAAAATTGACGCATTTCCATTACCAAGAATCGATGACTTATTAGACTCACTAGGTGGAGCCAATTGGTTCACTACCTTCGACTTAGCTAGTGGTTATTAGCAAGTAGCCATGCATCCTGACGATATTGAGAAAACTGCTTTTATCACAGCAAATGGCTTATACAAATTCTTAGTCATGCCCTTCAGATTAAATAATACACCTGGAACATTTTAAAGGCTTATGAACTGGGTTCTAAAAGACTTTCTTGGATTATTTGTATCAGTCTATCTTGATGATGTAATTATCTATACAAAAGGACCTTTTGAATTACATATTGATCATGTTAAACAAGTGTTCCAAACCTTTAGGGATGCTTACCTAGCGATAAAGTTAAAGAAGTGTTACTTTTGCCAACCTTTCTTAGCATTTTTAGGACATATTGTAGGACAAGAAGGAATTCAACCTGATTCAGAGAAGATTAAGAAAATTGAAGAATTCCCAGAACTAAAAAGTCTAACTCAACTACGTGCTGCATTAGAATTATTTGGTTACTACTGAAAATTTATTAAAGATTTTGCACGACATGCCAAGCCATTGACTTTATTATTAAAGAAAGATCAGCCCTTTAAATGAAAAGAAAAACAACAACATGCCTTTGACCGACTAAAAGAAAGGCTTATTAAGGCACCAATCTTATAGTATCCAGACTTTAAAATGCCTTTTACTTTATATACCGATGCTTCAAAGAAAGGATTAGGTGCTGTATTATCTTAAAAGAAGGATGGAAAGAAATATGTTATTGCATATACTAGCAGATTGACCAACAAAACTGAAGAAAATTATCCCATCACTGACTTAGAGTGTCTAGCAATTGTTTGGTCAATTAAGCATTTTCATCATTACCTTAGTCAACCATTTACTATTGTGATTGATCATGCTGCCCTAAAATGGCTAAAAACCTCAAAAATGCCAAAAGGAAGACATGCTAGATGGATTATGGAACTGCAACAATATCATTTTACTATTGAACATAGAGCAGAAAAACATAATGCAAATGCCGATGCATTATCCTGCATGTATAACGAAGAAACTGCTGAATGCTTTATTATTGACTTTACTGAAACGGATATAGCTGATGACGAATATGAAAATAATAGTATAAAGGAAGATATAGAATGGCATATTTCTTCTCCCAAATCTGGAGAAAGTGAGGAATGGTTCAAAGAGGAATTGTCTCGATAATACTCTAATACCGTCTTAATAACTGCCATTGGATATAAATTTCCTAATGATGAGTTAGAGGAAATCTATCGCGAAAACATAAAGATTAAACAAGTAATCGCTGGACAACCTATCACTAGAAAAGGATCATAATGCACTTTCTTATGTGATACTGAAAACCATCATGTTCACACATATTGCAAAACATGCAAGAAAAATTTATTGTACGGAATTATCATACATGACTGTATCATTGGGTATGGTTTAGGAAAAATTCAACCGGACATGAAACCAGAATACTTAACTAATAACCTCTAGTAGGAAGAACCTCTTAATACAATAAGAAAACCTTCGTGCACAATTACATTTTCACCTTGGTGATATTGATAATGCATCTCTCTCTCCCTCTTATTAAATTAACCATTAATATAACATAAAGAATTAAATGTAAGCGAAAGTGTTTATAGCGTGATAAACAGCTAAAATTCTTAACCATGGAAGAACAACAATATAATTAACTATTTAATTATTTAACTAACCAAACATACCCAACTACCTTTAATCAAACACAACAACATAAATTAATCGTATTATCAAAACATTATATTATCAAACATAATTTATTATACAAAATTAACAAGAATAACCCAAGTAACCCAATTAGAGTACTCAAGAAAATGAAATTGAAACCTGCACTTTACATGTTTCACAATGATTCAACTGCCACTCATAGTTTAAAAAAAAAGATGATAGAGAAAATTAGAAAACTTTTTTATTGGCCTTAAATATTTGAAGATATCAAGAACTATGTACAATCATGTGACTCTTGTCAGAAAAGAGGAAGAGCCTCAAGAATAGAACCCTGCATCCTATCCCTATAGGACAACCTTTTCATCGTATTGGAATAGATTATGTCAGACCTCTACTAACTTCAAGTAAAGGAAATAAGTATATAATCGTTGCAATGGATTATTTAACCAAGTGGCCAGAAGCTAAGCCTGTAAGGCATAATGATACTAAAACAACTGTACAATTTGTGTATGAAGATATAATTTGCCGACATGGATGTCCTGGAGAAATAGTTACCGATTGTGGTACTCATTTCAATAATCAGCTATTACATGAATTACTATAGAAATTTGAAATACCTCATAAAATGTCAACACTATACCATCCACAAACCAATGGATTAGTTGAAAGGTTTAATAGAACTTTAATAGAAGCCCTAGCATGAACTGCTACCAATCACCAAAGAGATTGGGATCGTTTTATTGCCCCTGCACTTTTTACCTATCGTACAAATGAACATTCTGTTACAAAAATGACGCTCTTTTTCCTTGTGTAAGGACGAGAAGCTAAATTACCAATGGATAGTACAGAAATAGAGGAGGAATCTCTCTTGCTCAACCATGTGGAAAAACAATTAGATCAGCTGCCAATTATTCGTAATACTGTTTAACAAAATTTGCAAAAAGAACAACAAAAACAGAA